GCTATATGATGTAATTATATGGTTAAAGTGCTTGGTTTTTAAGAACAGGATTGGTGTGATATTTCATTTCGACATAAGAGATGTTATTTATTATTCAGGAAACAACCAAAACCAGCAAAAAAAAAATACTTAACATTAGATGCAAAAGAAAAAAAAATGTGGGGGGTATTAATAAATAATGGTTGCTCCTCGTGCAACGAGGATGGCCGGCCCTAGGGCCACCTAGACGTGAATTTGTTTAAGGTGTTTAAGCTGCCAGCTGCATAACCTAATGTCAAGGGGCCGGATACTCAAAACACCTCAAAAGTTACGTTTTTCAGCATGATACAGTACCATATATTGTGGAAGCCTTACAGTACCATAAATTTAGCATACTCAAAATTTAATTATGGTTCCGTAAGACTACCATAAGTTCTCATAACTCTAGTGTTTACCCTGTAAATTAAGTTCTCTTGTCGGACGGTAGATGTCAGTGCAGATGCTCGTTGGCCAATCAACGCTCAGTTAACAAAATCATCAACCAATCACAAGAGAAGGTGAAATCAGCTGAGAGCGACGCACGTAATATTATTGTGTAAACATGGAAGGACCACCAGCCAAGAAGAGACGGCCTAATTTCAGTGAGGCTGAAGTATACGCTCTTGTGACTGAGGTAGCCAAACGAAAAGAAATGATTTTAGGGAAGTTGGACTCAACTAGATGTACACTTCAACTCAAAAACCATGCCTGGGGTGAAGTGTTAAATGCGGTGAATGCTGTTGGTAGAGTCACCCGCAATGTTACTGAAATTCGGCGGAAGTTTTCTGATCTTCGTGTTAGCGTTAAGAAAAAAGCAGCACAAGATAAGAAATATGCTGGTGGAACAGGTAAGTCATAATATTGTTAGCGTGGTTATTGATTGACAATATGAAACAAACTTAACTATGGTTTTTCTGAGGCTTGGTACGATTTTACGTGTTTGTAAACTCAAGGAAGTAAGTAGTGTGGTGGCTCTCCATCGTGAATGAATACACATATTTTCCTTATATGAGCACATTCATTAAAAGAAACATCGTTCTTCGAAGTTTTCCGTGTGAGTAAATAGTAAAAACTTTACCGTTCAACCTAAATTTTTTTTTTTTTTTTTACGTGGATTAACCAACCCAGGCACAGTCACTGACCCACGTCGGGGCCTGTAATAATAATTCTTTAGTACTATTAATAAAAATAACTCTATTAATAATATTATTAATAATAAATAACCATAAATACCGAAATGAAAACACAAAAAGTGAGAATCAATATACAGTATGTATGTTGTGTTGTCGATATTACGAGAAACAATTGCGACCCTGCAATTGTGTGTAAATGGCACATTTTGATCAGCAACCTTGGACTTGCTCTTAATTTTCGTGATGCCATATGGCAGCAGGGTCTACCATTAGACAACACATTATGCTTCCAATATCTTCCCACCCGGTAGTCAGGGAAGTCTGTACTACTGTTAATAATTTCCCCACAACTTTTGGATTTTCTTATTATACCTATCATAAAGTTTACACAATTTTAAGACACACTTGTCATTGTGTCGCAACTGACGTGGAACAGAGATAGTTAATATGAGTTTGTGTGGCAGGGCGGCGGAGGCCTCCCGTTGGTAAAGGAAGCTAGGTTAGGTAGGTTTGGTTACTGTTATAAACTACATATTAATAATTACGTTATTTCCGACGGTAATGAAGGTCATAATGTATAAGTTGCCATAGAATTCCTTTTTTTATGTCGTTAATTTTCATTCATCAATAGATTTATATTCATATTTGGTCTACATTAATATGTAAATTTTACTTTGTTAGGCTTATAGGCAAGGATGTTCTATCTTATGAGTTTACAACTAATACAGGTTGAAAAATTTCTGGCTGCTACTATTTTTTTTGACTTATTTTACCATTTATTGTTTGTTACCTTAAATCTAATTAACTTTTGACATAGATAAAGGAGAATTTTTGTGGCTACAGCTACAATGATAGGTTAGGTTATAATGTTTGGAACTATTTCAGTAGATTCCTTTGTAACTATGATTTCTGCCAAATATAACATAGTTAGCGTATAGTGTATGTAACCACAGCTCACAGTAAGACAGTTATTATTTATTCTTTCTCTTCAAGGTGGCGGCCCCCAAATTGAAATTACATACACTGCAATTGAAGAAGCAATTCTTCAACTATTAGATCCAGCCTCTATGCATGGGATTCCAGGGGATGTTGAAAGTGAAGAACCTATTAATGGTAATTCAGTCAAAATACTTTTCCAACCCTCTGATATATTTTTTCTTTTCTGTCCTTGTTTTTATTTAAAAAAAAAACTTTTGGAGACATTTTTTCACATCTTGATTTGGAAATACTGTACACTATACTGATTTTTTATATAATTTTGAAAAATAACAACACTAGTAAGTTGGTTTCATTTCTAGCTTGTTTATTGCTTCCCTAAGTTATATATTAAATGTTGTTATAACTCGTATGTTAATGGACAAAATTGAGAAGTGCAAATATAAGAAATTTAACGCCTAGTTGATATTTAGATTTAAAAATATTTTAAACAAATATATTTAGATGGTCAACACTATTTTTCAAACCATTATTTTTCCTAAAAGCTTTTGTATATTTGGAAATACAGTGTAATATTTTAATTATACTCTTAACATAGACTTCAATCAACCTATTATACTACATTTCTTTCCAGAAGAAGAAAGAGAACCAACCCCCGGACCCTCAGGAGCTAGGTTTACAGCTAGTTGTTTCCGAGAGGAATTTATGTTTCGGCTCGTTCAAGAGAAAGATGATTCTATAACCCTCATTCTGAATGAGGATATACAGGAACATGATATCACAGTACCCATTGTGCATTTAGAACCTGAAACTTCAGCACCTACAAACATTCCTGGATTTTCATCATCCGGAACATATGAGGTAGAAACATGTAGTTCAAGCAATACTCGTCAACCTATTGCTGCTACCACGGAACAGCGAAGTAGGTCTAGTACCCCTTCTGCCACAGCTGTTAGGTCAACTGTAACTGGTGATTACACTGATGAACTGGGTTCATCTCCAATGCCAAGTACGATCAGAAGTGGCAGGAGGCCACGAACCTCTTCTGCCCGAAAAGATGAAGATCTTCTTCGAGAGATGCTTCGTGTTCAAACACAAATGAGGGACAGTTTTTTTACAGCTTGTAGCTAACACCGAGTGCATTGCATCTGCAATGCTATGCATTGCAAAAGTAATGCAGTCGAAAATCCTATCCAATGATGCTGTGTTTATGGTATGTGTATATGTAGTTGTTTACTTAGGTAAGTCCTTTACTTTTGGTAAATGTGATAATAGCGTAGTTGAAAAGTCATCAAACATTTATTGTAAATTTTCCTTTCAGTGATTGTTATGAAGGAAGACGGCATGTTAAAAAATTGTGTAACTTTCACTTGCAGCCTATACTAGTCATGAAAATGTAACAGGAATATTTAGCTCTCCATAACTTCATTAAAATCACGAAGTTAAGTGAAAGACACACATTTGTCAACTAATAACATGGGTTGCAGTGCTACTACGGGTAATGTTTACCCAGGTTTTGGGTAAAAGTTCCTACCACACTCAAAATTATATGTTTGAAAACAGGCTCATGTACTTATTTTTATTTTTTAAAGGTTCCTTTATTTTGTAAGACGTAGTCAATTTCCAGTTCAACGAGTTTTATTTATTAGTTTGTAGTTTGCGAAGTATGATTCAAGTAGGTTGAAACAGAAATAATGGTGCAAATTCACCAACAGCCTACTGTAATCGCTGCTATTTAACACACATTAGTCTCCAAAGAGCAAGTTGTTGCATTGGTTCTTTCATAAGGATGTGCTGTCTCATGTTACATTTTATAGCTTAACAAGCAAAGAGTATTTCTTTATTACTTATAGTAGTACAGTATTGGGTTATAAGTTTCTTTTAATTTACGGGTATTGATGCAGGTAATTCTAGACATATGAAAATTATACTGTATTCCATTCGTAAATCTAAAAATGGCAACAAATAACAGTAGTTGTATTATTATTTCACAACGATGTGGTGACCCATGTCAAATTGTGTAGTTTAAGATGCAAACAGTAGCAATATTTTTTTATTGTTTCAATTTCTCAAATATGTTTTATATAAGGATTTTTTGTTTCACAAACTTTAGTGCCTTTGGTATTTAGTATTATTAAAAGTATACTGTATTGGAATCAAATTTGCTCAAGGATATAGTACATATATTATTAAGGTAAAAGAAAGCCATTTAATTTCTATAAAGAAGTTTATTTTATTATGTACAGTATATTGAAAATAAAAGTTAAATCAATGTACGCTTTATTCGCATTACCTCTATACTGCACTAAAAAATACTATTTAAACATAGAGGAAAATTGTGTTGGTGAATTGATATTTGATTTTAATTCATCAAGTAAACCAATTACGGACTATATTGGCTCGGACTGCTTGGCCTGTCCCTGCTACAGCTTCAGCTGGATTGTCAATCTCTCCATCATCGTCGACCATGTCGTGGGGAAGTGGTACCCTTCTCATTACACAATAATTGTGAAGAAGGAAACATGCATTTACAATTTTGCCACATTTGGAAGGATCGTATTGAAGTGACATCTCTAATAATTCTACTGACACTAGCTTGGGTAAGACCAACTGTATCACCAACTACATGTTGAAAGGTTCCACTGGCATAAAATCTTAAGGCAACTAACACTTGCGTGTGTATGGAATCAGCATGAGATCTTCTCGTTCTACGCCTTAAAAATGGATCTAACTCTTCACACAGTCTTAGAATTTCACATCGAGGAAACCTATATCTAATTAGATTTTCATCGCTTATATTTATGGGATCCAAAGGGTCCCGATACCTTCGTTCACGTCGTAAAGCTCGATCATGCAGATAAGCTACAACAAGATCCATTGCAGGGTAACTGGAAAATGAGGTCCAAGTGTTACAGGATCAATCTGCAGGACAAAAAATTCTGCAATGGTTTAGAAGTTTGTTACAGTATTGTTTTTATGTTGATACTAACTAATTCAAAGTTTTATCATTAGGCCTAGAATAGAAGGGTTATGCCTGTGAAAAACAAAAATTACGGCCTTAAGGTTTTGCCTGGCTCTTAGGGGTAAAATACTGAAAAATGCACAACGTGTTAAAATCTCTGTATTCATTTAAAATTGAAAGAAATTGTTCATTATGAAAGTAAATAAGGGTGTTAAAAGCATTTAAAAGACATCCTCTTGCCTCAAAGTCTGTCACATACTCGCATTTGAAACTGATTTCTGGTAGGAACAGCAGCCTTCTCCGTTAGCCGGAATCCTTGAAACCCCGAACTTTCTGAAAGCCGTAATTGACATTTTATCTAAAATTAATTCCCAAAGCATGATTTTGCAGGAAACTTACGGCTTAGGTAAATGACTTTCAGAGAGGCACATTTTCCTGAAAACTATGAGGAAAGTTTCCCAGATAACCGAGAAAATTCCGGAGATGGTGGATATATTTCTGGGTTCGAGAGATGATGTAATGGGCAATTGCAGGAACTACCGAGAAAATTTTTCCATTACCATAAACATTCTGGGGATGAGGGATATTTTCTTGATTTGTGATAACTGTCTCGTTAACAGGAAAACACTCATTCATTCACGGTAGTGCTCTTCACCAATTGATCTGGCTAACAGAGATCTCATAGTATTTGGTGTTTTACCCCACTAGAATTTAGGTAAATAATCCCTTGCATAATGTTGGCCTGTGACAAGACACATAAGCTATACTAAGATAGCCTTATTCTGGGCAAATTCAAATAAATTGGTTATTGATAGCATAGCCTTGCCTAACCTAAATGACAAATCACTTCTCTTAAATTACTCAGTTAGCCTAGACCCTGGTGTTTTCCTTTCAATGTTGGTAACATTTGGTCTGAATTGTCTTCAAGTTCATACAAAAAACAACAATTTAAAACCTGAAAATATATCGGATTAGCCGTAAATTTTCTTAAATTAATACTCTACCTATGATAATGTCCAAGGAAGTCTGGAACTAGGCCTAAGGTAGCTGTTAGACTAAGTGTCTCACTGACGGCCTGACACTCACCAAAAAACCATGTACACATTCTCTAACCTAAAATACCATACCATAACATAACATAACCAAACCTATCTATCTAACCTATACCCTATTAGTATAATTTCTTAATTAAATAATCCCCATGTTCTAACTAAATTAAGTAGGCCCCACGTTTAAACATTTATTTGCCTAAGACTGAAAAAGCAGTTATATAGGCCCCTATTAATCAAGTTAATTGCAATCCATATTTTACACCTAATATCATTTAATTTTGGCTAGCCTATGGAGATTTATAGCCTTTCATGTTATCATAAGCCATATATATAAGAAAATAGGCTAAGGCTATTGGTTGAATATTAGAAAAACAAGGCGAAGTCTTGGCAGGAATGTTCACTTGACCTCATATTTGGCTTTCATTACTGAGGGATATTTACGGCTATACAACATTAATAAGTTCTATCTGCAAGTTTACTCAGTCATAAAACATATTTTTACCCTAAGTGTGAGCAATACAAACCTGTTTTGGTAAGAAATACTTTATAATGTGTAAGAAGACAAAAGATGCGTCTCTTCCAAACTGAGACAAACACAAACACTCAAGCCGCTTATTATGGCAACAAAAAAGAGAAAGTGAAATATTATATTTCAGTATGTTTATGTACAAAACATTTTCTTCGTTATTCTATGATAAAACAAGTCTAACAAGCATTATTAAAACATATATTATTATTATTTTTTATACAATCGGGAATTAGTCACTACTACATCCGGGTTGAGAGTGTTACACAATCTCGGGAGCTGGTGTAAGTTACTTGCGTTAACTTACGGAGTTCGATGTCAAATATTTGTTTTGAGTATACCATCTGTGTTTTAAGTATGCCAATCTGAGACTGTGAGTTCAGTTACGGGTACACAACGACATACAGTCCCATAAATTTTTTTGAGTATCCGGCCCCTGGATATTTATCGATTTGCGGATCGTATTCGGGGTAATGGTTAGCCAGTGCAGTTGGCGAGCTGTCCAGTCTTCTCGGACTATTCCGTGACACTGTGTCATGCAGCTCGTTAACTTAGGGTGTGGTTGTTGTGTTGGCTACAGCTTCTACACCTTAACAAATTCACGCCTAGGAGGCCCTTGGGCCGGCCATTCTCGATTTCGAGTGGCTTCCATTATATATTTTCCTTGCCATTGAAGTTAAGTTATGAGCGCCATCTATGAAACATATATATCATTACTACTTCTTACCCAGAACAATCACTTTAAATATTTATCTTAAGACGAAAACAAAAATAACACTATTAATGCCTCTATGTGCTTTATCTATCTCAATTGTTGGCTTACCTAGAGCTGAGACTTTCCTCCTTACAAAACTAATGTTGTCGGCGCCATCTGTGAAATGTATTCGGCACTAATAATGGTTTCCCCAGAGGTGACACTAGCAACAAACATCCTCCAGTAAAAAACTAACTTTGTAAGCTCCATCAACTGTATGTGCTGTATTTGAAACTATTACTGTCTTACCCAGAGGGGATATTTAAAGCACACGCCCCTTGTATAAAAATAACATTTACCAACGCCATCTATGAACCGTATTCGACAGTACTCCTCACGTATTCCAAGGTTCCCAGACTCAAGCGGACCGGAGGAATGGGCAGACCCGGAAATTCAGGAGAAGACGGTGGTGTGGCGCGGGTCGTAACACCCATCACGTCTTGCTCCACTGCTGATGAAGTGATATTGCCGGATTCCTGAAAATTAGAAGGGAGCTCTGACCAGCTTCAAAAATGTGTCCGATTTAATCCCACCCTGAATGACTGTCGTGATGAGTTGGGCTATTTTTTTTTTCATTAAATTTAAAAAGATGAGAGAGAAAATTATCATCCCAGTTGCCTTTAGAGAGAGAGAGATAGAGATTGAGAGAAATAAAGACTAAAAGATAAGAAAATTAGCTGGGATTTGGAAAGAGACAGAGATAGAAATAAGGAGTATAAAGACGAAAAAAGACCTGTTGAGAGAGAGAGAGAGAGAGAGAGAGAGAGAGAGAGAGAGAGAGAGATAAATGGTTCTCAGGTTGTATCAAGGCCAATTTAAAACCTGAAAAGCTACGTTTTTTAAATTAAAAAGTAAAGAGATTAACGTGGAAGAGAAGATGAAGAAGATGAAGAAGAAGAAGACGAAGAAGAGGCAGCGAAAACGAAGATGAGAAGAGGAAGAACAGGAAAAAAAGGAAGAAGAAAATGAAGTTGGGAGGTAAGAATAGAAAATATAGGTGATGAGAAGTTGGGAATAAACGAGTAAGAAGAGGAGAGGAAAAGGTACTCATAAGAAGAGAAGAGAAGAGACGAGAAGAGAAGACAAAGGCGTAGTAGAAAGTGGAGGAAGGAGTGATCACTGGACAGTTCAGTCAACTTCATGATTCCTGCCCCAAGTTTTTGATGACAGTGTAATCGTAAAAACCCGCCAGGGGGAGAAGGAGGAAGGGAAAGTAAGGGGTAGGAGGGAGGAAGGAAAGGAGGGAGAGAAAGTTATGGGTAAGAGGGAGAAAGTAAATGAGGGAGGGAAAGTAAGGGGTAGGAGGGAGAAAGGAAAGGAGGGAGAGAAAGTAATGGGTAGGAGGGAGAAAGTAAAGGAGGGAGGGAAAGTAAGGGATAGGAGAGAGGAAGGAAGGAAGAAGGGGAGAGAAAGTATTGGGTAGGAGGGAGGGAAAGTAAGGGGTAGGAGGGAGGAAGGACAGGGAGGGAGGGAAAGTAAGAGGTAGGAGGAAGGGAAGAACAATTGACGAAGGGTAAGACGGAAGAAGGGAGAGAAAG